AAATCAAGGAGGAGGGTCCATCGTTACATACATATACAATATACAATGTTTCTCGTGGTTCTACGTCCCCGCGATAAATAAATAACGCCGAGGTTTTTCCATTGATCGACTCTTCGTTTGGTAATCTATCACGCTTTTCGAAACATCAAGCAATTATCTATACACTTTTAATGCCTTGCTACTGAATCTTTCGTCCTCTCAATTGCCAAACGAAGAGTCGACGTGTAAACGTACTTTTCTGAAAAAATCCTAAAGGTTCGATGAAATTGACAATTTGCAATTCTACAACGGTACAGTACTTTTCAGAAGGCAGTGAAATATAGGTATCGTGTTCGGATGCAAGCGCAAACTTCGCTCCGCAAATATTTATCACGTAAGACGCGTTTTCTTCTAGGTAAAGGATTAAAAAAAAATAATTATTGTCGAGCTGAAAACACTCCGCATGGGAGCTTTCATGCGATCATCTGGCACATACGATTAAATAAATAAGTTCCAGTTGCACCTGCGTCCGACTTGGAAACCAGTGACGACTTAAATTTTATAGGAATTCATCTAATTATGTGCTTTTTTCTTTGTCCACTCATCGTGGTATTCTGTCGTTATATTATTATATTCAATGCAGCTCAAGGATTCTGAAGACAACGAAGAGTAGGGCCTCGTTCATTGGCCACGAAAAGCTGTAAAAATTTGATAACATAGCAATTGAACTACTTATTTGCCGAATCCATTAACTTTACATCGCATCGAAGAACATTAAAATGGCCATAAGACAGGGTTCCTCCATTTACTTATTAATACACGGTTTCTCTTGGACGTTTTATTGCTTCTATGGCTGTAACGGAGACCACTTTATGGGAAACAAGCCCAGAACAGTAAAAAAACTAGATGTTTCTCTTGTCAAAAGAATCGATCGACAAAAAGAAACAAACCGATAGCCGGAGATTCCACGAACTATCATGCTGGAACGTCGGTTTTGTTCTGTTTTGAAACACGATCACGAGAGACCGTGGAAAGGTGGAGATTGTACGTAAAAGCGGCGAAATTTATATCGATCGAATTGATTTTTATTTATTTTATCTCGCCTCTACTAAACGCGAGAAACAGAACTGCGCTCGTTCCGGCCTGATAACGGCGAAACGTCCACGAAAACTCGCGTGTCATCCCTGTTGAACACCTCTCGCGCGTTGCAAAAAAACCAGACTCGAGTTTTTTCTGCTAAATTCACCGTGACGAGCGGATCAAACGGCTGCTGGAAACGATAAAACGAAATAAAAAAAAAAAAAAACCGCAACGGAGTTCGCCAAGTCGGACATTTTATGGCGTTTGGCACTGATCCTTATGCTGGACCTTTGTGGGGTAGCGCTGTCGAGTCGAAATCCCAAGGAATAGAAACGAAATAAAACGAAGGCACTGTAGTACCCGCATATCGAAACGCTTAGGTATACTTCTTGTGAATAGAAAATGGTGACGTTCGCGTGGAAACGGAAAACGGATGGCAAATTCGAGACGTCGATCTTATATGTTGCTCTTGAGGTACCAGAAGTTTCGAAGAGTTCGAGACTAAAAAAATGACCCATTCAATTGTAGTCGAATAATAAGAGACAGAAGATTTATTTAAAAGGAATATTCTCATTGCCTACAAATAACGTGTACCATTGTTCTTTGCGAGCAATGGTATCGATCTCTGATTCATGAACAGTGAAAGGAATTTTTCACAGTGTCGCAAGACGACCGACGAGTCCGATTCGTCGGCGAAGTGTCACTAGGTCACCGTTTCAGAAACTCCTCTGACCGCGTGACGCTTATGAAAACCGATTGGTTAGCTAGCCCACCCACACACCTATTCCATAACGAGAAACTCGGTGGCAATCTACTGTCCGAGAACAAAGGAGGCCGGAAACAGCAGAGTCCTACGACAGCTATCAGTCGTACAGCTGGTGATTCGATCGCGGATCAAAATTGGTCAGCAAGATCACGAACCCAAGATACAGAGAAATTGTACGAGAAAAATATCTTCACCCTTCACTTTGGTGTAACTTTAATTGAGAAAAAGGAATATGGAGCACGCAAGGAACGAAGGAATTTATCGAGGCCCACGTGGGACTCGATTTCCAACCGATTATTTATTCAATATTAATTCGGTCCATTGCACTCGCGATACCTTGAAACCAATATTGCCTTGCGATACGTTTTTTTTCCCCTCTCGATCGTTATTCGAACGGAGAACCTTGTTGCGAAACAGAAGCGACACTCCGCGCTCGCGAACGACGACAGACGATCGTTGTTGAGCGTCGTAATTTCCATACGTCCGTTAACCGATCATTAAATACCTTCACGCTGACTCTGTTGCTTCTGTCCGGAGGAAATTGCGTGATGATCTTAATTAGCTGTGTATTAGAAAGGAGCAGGATCGTTCTGACAAACGCGATTACAGGGAGGCTGTTGCAGTCTTTAACTAGTAGTTACAGAGACTTTTACGTGAAAATGAAGGAATTAGAAGCTTTGGAATTCAATGATCCGTAGTTACAAAAAGGATACATTGATTTTTACGAGTAAGTATTTTATTCAAATTGAAGGTATTCGAATGCAAATAGAATTTATCTCGCGACTTTCCGTCAACCGAACGACGAAAAGAAAAAAAATGCACGTATTCATCCGCGTGAATTGGGTCTGGACGAGCGTCGACAAGACGCGAGTCACGACGTTCGAAAAAATCCGTCTGGGTTTGCGAAATGTAGTGCGTGTAACCAACTGACATCGACCACGAGTCGATAATAATCAAGCCTAATTGCATATGCATACACGACGATGGCAATGAGTATTCATCGATGCATACGAGTGAGTGTCTGCAACCAGTTTCGAAATAACCACGTTCCGTGTATCCGAGCAAACACGAGCACGTATCCAGTCTCGAAAATTTTGGTCTTAATATCCGTCGACAGGTTTAATCGAGATCGTTAATTCCCCGATTGAATTCCCAAGATTCTAAATTTCAATTTCTAGCATCCTCGACATCCGTAATTTCACCGATCGAACAGATTCTAAGCGTCCCGTGTCCTTCAATCCAAGACTTCTCGCCCAAAAAATATATAAGTCTCGCAATTTTTCCCCGCGATTAAACCGACCTCCAATTACGTTCACTGCGTTAATTGTGCGGAACGCGTTACCAGTCGCGTCAGGGGCCGATGTTGCTGGCACCGTGTTTCAAGATTACATCAAGCTTCCCCCGTACTGTCGTTCCCATGAGCCAGTTCACGTATGTAATTATTTGCGTCGCGTTAAAATGTCGCCCGTGATTCCAATGTCCCCTCTCTCATTAAACGGTCAACGGTGTTTTACCACAACGGTTCATTTTCCCAGGGAAAAGTGAGCCTGTATCGGGAGACGACAATGGAAACTTCTTCCCCAGCCATTCGCGTTATCTTCCCCACGATCGTGTCTCCTCGATTTTCATAACTTTTCGGTCCTATCGATGCAGATAGAAGGACTAGAAATACGAGACCTTAATCTCGTGCCTCTGCCTCTTGTCCCGGACATCGCGTAATTTTTTCTTCCCACGCAATTAAGATTAACGTTCACGTTCTCACGATCCCGCCGACAGAAACTCACGCCGGAGGAATTTAAATCGTCGCGTTACTTTCCATAAGAAAAGCTGTTTCTCTTCTAAATCAGTCAATGAGTTCGCGACAATGATACAATTTTTAATGGTTTTATACGAGTCGAGAGGTCAAAGGTTGAGCAGTTTTCTTTCCGTAATCGGATTGATTTAAGTTTTATATTCACGCAGACACTAGAACCAGTTCCGAAGCTACCGACAATGTTTTCTCGAAGGAAATATTACGAGGTAGCGAGCTGCATGCCTCCACGATTTCGTCCTCTGACGAGCTCCAGCCATTAGAACGATCTTCTCGGTCAGGCGACAATAATTCGAGCACGTCTAATTACTTCGCTCGCTTTACAACAGGATGGTCTCCACTCTTACGTCATTTTTTTTTTTCGCGACTCCAATCTTTTCCGGCAACAAGAATTTATTGAAAAATCTATTTTTAACCTTAATGAACTACCAGGGCTTTTCGTCAAGTGAGACAAGCTTAATGAGATTCCCAGCGGGCGACTACTTTCTCCCGAAAAATTTCGGATCGTGAATTTTACGACTGCGATAAATTATTCCGAATCTTTCTCTCCTATGAGTTCCCTAAAATTCTTGGGAAGACTATTTCGAGACTCTTCTTCCGAGAATATTTTATTACGAATCTTCTGGTCCTCGAGCAACGAATCTTTCCACGAATACCTGGACGGAAATGAACGAAACTCGTAAATTTTTCGGTAAATCTTCAACGTGAATCTTGTTAATCGTCGCGATAGGAAGGATCCGAGTCTTTAATTCGTCAAAGCCGATCGACTTTCAAGATGAGATGAAAGAGGTCACAGGTAGAAACCGGTGACGAAGATGGGGCCGGGTTACCATCAACTTTTTATCCGAGTAATTTTCCTACTCGGATCGTTCCGAGAATCGAAAGCCACCTGAACTGGTCGGACGTGGCTCTCGGCTTGGCCACCCATCACGATTTTCCACGCGAACGTTGCAAACGAATGGATCGTTTACTCGCGAGGAAGAAGAGGCTCTTTCCTCTTCCTTAAACGAGTGTCCCGGTTAGAGTACCTCGTGGACTCTTTAAAACGAGTCCGAATTTCCGGCTACGAATACACCCTCTGTATCGTTCGAAAATCAAAACTGTCTTAACAACTTCGAATTCATTCATATTCTAAGTCCAGTCCTCGTGGACCTCGAAACCAAACTGATCCTACATCGATTAAAAGATACAATAACGGATTATCGTTCACTTCTATACATCCTCGATTATTAAGACAAGGAATAGCCCAGGCCTCGAACAAGTCAATATATCGCTATCGTTCATCAATCAAACTGTCCTCTAACTCTATCCAGTCGAGAAAACAATGGAGTACACACGACAAACACCCAGCAACTTGTAAGAGTCCTAACGGGGCCGGGGCCTGGGCAACGGCTGCATCTGTTGTTGATGATGAGAGTATCCAGTCCTGGAGTTCGCCGGTGGTAGCGTTCTTTCTGGACTGTCGTCCAGGTTCAGACCTGCCACCAGTTGAGCTATTTCTCGGTCCTTCTTCTCCTCCTTGGGCAAAGCGTTCCCATTCTGAGCACTGAAGCCCAGGGATGCTAGACTGCCGTGGCTTCTGCTACGGTGTTCCGCTCGGATGCTGTAAGAAAATGCCCTCTCGTTCAGATGACCCTTCCGTCGATAGATCCCGGTACCAAAACGGGACTCGTTCTCCGGACTGTCGGCCGCACGATTCATTTCCGCTGTCGTTAGGTCAGCGTGGGACGCGGCTAATCTTCTGGACGCTCCGAGAGTCGAAGTGTCTCCGCCATCGGGGTGTTGTCTTCTGCCTCTGTTCCCAGCTGTCCCGTACGTTCCAGCCGGGTACATGGCCGCTGCTGGTGGAGGGGGCACCACCGGGAGCGGAGCGTACACTGGGACAATTGGAGCGGCTGCTGGGATAGGCCTGAGTCCTCTCGGATGATGATGCGCCTTCCTGGGTAGCGTTGCCGCTGGTACCAAGAGAACTGGCGCTGGTCTGGCTAGGGTACCGGCAACGGATCGACTACTGGGTGGCAGAGGATGAGGATAATGGTGTTGTTGTCTGACCGGGTGACCCAGGGTATGATGCCCATGGCCGTTGGTGTAGATTCCTTGGTGGAGCTGATGATGAATATGCGGTTGCTGCAGTGGATCCTCGTGACTTCTGTTCTTCAGCTTTTTCAGCTTCTTGTTCGCTTTCCTGCGAACGGAAGACGACGAGGACTCTTCGAGAAGCAAGGGCTGTGAAGGGGGAGGTGGTGGGGGTGGTGGTGGCGGTGGAGCGACTAGCTGACGGGGTCTCGAACCCTTTGTGCTTCGCAGGGTCCCTTGTTCCTGGTATACACCGTCTACCTCGTCGCGACCCCTTGCCCATACCTTGTGATTCTCGTCGCCGTTGTAGAGACTCAGATCATCCGTTGAGGTGCTGTCCAAACGATTCGCCTGCGGACTATCCAGGGTGGTGCTGGAACCCCCGAGGGTATGATAGAGGCTGTTGTTCGATGGATGACCAGTTGTCACTCCGTTCGTTGTTACCGTGGTGGGGTCCAGACCCTTCGCGTAGCTGCTGTCCGCGTACGCGTGGAAACAACACCTGACCAGGGCGTTGGCCGCCATGTCTCGTTTGCAGATAAACGCGTGACATTCTAGAACCTTGATGCCGGTCGTCCTTCTCAATACAGCGGCGAAAAGGGGCGGATGATTTGCACTGGGTGTCCTAGCGAACGGCGAGTCCAGGGGCAGGAACCTTGTGTTCGACGAGTCTCCGCTTCCGCCTTTTACGTGCCTGACCGCGGCGCAGTAATGAAGCGCCTCGATCGGAAAGAATCTGGTGACCTTTTTACGGTGCTCGTCTACGTTCTCCAACAGGAGACCGTTGCTCCACACGCTCAACCACGAGTCTATTCCACGCGCCCCAAGAGCGCCCTGTTCCGGATAGAGTTCCCTTAGCGGCTCCTGAACGCCAAGCAGACCCTCTTTACTAGCATGGGGCACGGAACTGCCCAGGTAAAGAACCCGGCAACGACAATACGGCGTCGCCGTGTCTTGATTGGCACCCCTCATTTTTCAAGCTGACTCAATGGACCGCAACCGTGCCAAGAATAGTCGAGACAATAGCCAGCCTCCGGCGATCTCCTTCCTTCTCCAACGTAGATGACAAGAACTCAAACGAGGAACTCGAACGGACCGTGCACGACCCCGAAACAACTAGAACCGAGCCGGAACATTCGAACCATCGAGCACCATTCGAACGAGCATCGATATACCGGAACCAAGTGAACCGAGGGAGAACCGAGCGCGCACACGCGACGTTAGCTTTGTACACAAAAACTCCGGGCTGGGGACTCCGGGGTAATTCACTCCACTCGCGATTACGCAGTCACTTTCCAAAGAGGCAGCGAGTTGTTGCAAAATACGGGTGCGTGAACGACGAGGAGAGCCGCTCTCGGCTATTTCGCAGCAGCTGTAGCCGCCACTCGCTCGAGATCGCGTCAGGCCATTATGGCCGCCTTCTGACGGCCTCCCCACTTCCCAGTTAACCTCCTCCTCCTCCTCCTTTTCCTCTACCTTCGTTTCTCCGCCTCTGTTCTTCGTCCGGCTCTTTCTTCCAGCCTTCTCTCGCCAACCTTTTCCAATCTCCCACTCCGCTCTCACCTGGCCCGGTCCTCCTCAGGTATGCGGTGTGCGCAGTGGCGTCGTCGTCCTCCCGGTCGCCCCTCACCTCCACGTGTACCGATCGACAGGTACACACCCGGCGCACGGACGAAGGAGAACGCACACACCGTTCAAACCAGCCTGGAATTCAACGGGCCCGCTGAGCGTTGTGTCGGCGCTGGTGGAATCCAGAGGCGCGGCCGCAGGCGTTAGCCACGCGAGCCGTCGTCTCCGACTTTCCTGCGAGCCTCATCTACCTCGAACACCAACGATAAATGGCGAGATTCCACCACGGGTTTCTCGTTTACTTTTTGATCCCGAACACGTCGCGTTTCTCACGATTCTTCTTCGATCACGGACGCCCAGGTGAACGCAGATGGCGCTGGTTCTACCTTCACCCGATCACCGTCAAGATTATCCTCTCTCGGTCTGTGTTTCCCTTATTCTTCTAGCCCAACCGCGAGAATCGTTCTCCTCGTGGGGTAACCGACCGATCGAAACACCTTTTCTTTTATCGGTTGTTCCGCAACTGAGGCCACCGAACGCGCACGATTGCGAGCGGAATATACCGAGCTGCGATCGCCTGTACGCTCCTCGTCGGACTGCGGACCGACGGAAGGCGTGAGACTCCGTCGGAGCGGGCCCCACTACGACTCACCTGGCTGGGCCCCTCTCTTTCTTCGCCAGCCGCTTTTCTGCTTCGAGTCAGGCACTCCCTGGCTCGTCGTGTCCCCGTGTGGCTGCCTGCCTTTCGGCCCTACGCTCGATGGGGTGTCTGGAATTGTGCCGAGGGAAATGGGCATTCTTAGGCTGATTTTATGGAGGAACGCTAATAGCTCTCGCCTTTTTTCCCAGGAGAGAGAAGGTGATGCAACCGCGCGTTTTGTCGCCGGTAGTTTGCGCATTCGCTTGTGCGATCACCGATGGGAAATGTTGCTTTTCAGCCTCAACATTCCGCAAGCTGGAAGTTCTCTGTTCGAAGGACGTAATCGATCATTGAAAACGGATGTAAGATACATCTTCTCGCAAAAGAATCTTAGAAGGGGTACGTTTAATTCAACGTTGAATTCAATTAGAACACGCACTGTTTCCATCGTTAATCCACCGTTTGCTTCTTCCAGGATGCGTATCCCTTGATAATTTGTTTAATAAACTCCCGTCCCAGTTTAATTGTCACGCTTTCGACTTCGTTTTCTGTTGTTTCGCGGAATCTTTGCTATTTTAGAGAGGGACTAATTAAACGCTGAACCATCTTCGAAGAAGCTGTCGCTCGCTTATCGATCGTTCGATCCTCGAGAGAACAGTTCTCAGCGGTCCTGATTAAGTTCGAGCCGTCGCGCTAACGAACTCGTACTACTTTCTTTTCACGCGTTAATTCGCATCTAATCAGTTTCGATTAAAATTGTAAATGCGCGCCGGGTAGGTGCCCCTGACTCCCTGAGACGCGTGCGTTTAACGTTCCTGGGTGAGTCCGTGCGGGTTACGAGCAATTAAAAAGGCTGCTCCATTTCCTTTTGAGCAGTTCACTCCGCCCCTGATAATGGTATCAATATACGCAATCCACAGGCGTTGTAATTTAATAAGTAAATGCTTGCCGATCCATTTCCTGATTAACACCATGATTGGACAGTTGCAAGCAACTATAATTAAGACAAGACGATAATTATCGTTTCTTCTAGTTTGAAGATTCTGCAACTACGCAGTAGATTCCAATAGTTCAGTAAAGACCGTTACTGGAAGATTCAAAAAATTAGTGTTTCACCGTTCATAAATATCTTTGGACACGTCAAAAGGGAGATTTTTCATAGAAACGAAGGTCAACGGAACAATTAATGGTCCGCCACAGCGGGTGGCCTTCAGGTAAACACATACCTGCGGACAAACGCAGCGAGCCGCCCTTTACCTCTAGACGTATGACCGATTATAAACTATGTCAGTACCACGGAAGACTTGAGTGCGTGCGGTTCTCTTTTGACAGGAGCCGATTCGAGGTCTCGAGGTCGGCACGTCTGGATGTGTGTTCGGTACCGCGTGGCCGCGAAGGTGAAATCGCGAATATTCGTTGCGCAACCGCACCAATCGACCGTCAGTTGGCCTCATATTAGAGTGTAAAGTTTTATAAATCAGTTAACAATCGAACAGAACATTGAGTTCAGGGAAATATGTTGTGTTGAACTGAAGGTAAATGTGAAATTTTCAAGATTGAATAATACTAAGAGCCGTAGATCCTATAAATTATTGTGATGCACCATAAGAAAGTCAAGAATACATTAAATTTCAAGAATAATACTTTGTTGTCTCAGCAAAAGTGCATCGAATTGTCTCGAATATAAAAGAAAAAAAATACTTCTTCATTCTTCTTCGGCTTGCAATTAGCCCGCGTAGGAAACGACGAATCTAGTTTGGCATTTCCTGCGAGCGAAGTGCTTCCCCCGTCGTGTTTTCTACGACTTCATTAGATTAAAAAGGGAGAACACCGGTAGTGGAACCGGACGACGGCAATGTTTTCCATGTAATTAGCCGCGGACAGGAAAGGTGGATGAAAATCGTGGCAGGCGCATGCGTCACGTAAAGCCAGAAAATGTTGGAATCAGGGTCGCGTGACCGAAGACCCTGACCGTGGCCCAATGTCGGGAATTTCGTACTGGGAAACGGTCCGCGAAACGTTTCGCATGCCTCGCACATTTCAGTAATTTTGCAACGGTCGAACGTACCGAGGAAAGTGGAACGTAAGAGCTGCACGGTGATTGTTCGTTACCGAAGGAAATATTTCATCGTGCACCGTCGTCGTGAGAACAATAATAATCCCAGAGGTGTGAAAGAAAGTTTCGTACCAGATCACGTCGATAAATCAACGGTCAAAGACTATATTTTATTCGTTTAATCCCAAGATCGAATCGGATTCTCGAAAAAGAGTGTTCGAGAAAAAGAACGCAACTTTATCACTGTCCTCCACTTCTGCGACAAACATTTTAATTCATACGGTTTCGGGTACAAAAAGAAGTACAGAGCGAAGTGTGCTGTGGACCCAATGGAATCCCGAAAACACGCGTGCATTCCGAGCCGATCGAGAATGGGGACATTAGTATGCAAATAATCGGATACAGGGTCCGTGCTATTCGAGGATTTCAGTCGAGAAAATGGAACCGCTTATCCTTCGTTCACGGTCGAAGGACAACCACATGGTTTTGCGAACCGACTGGCCAATCGTCGAAATCACCGGTTCCTCCCAGCAAAAGACATAAATTCCTTTGATTTTCTGGGCGTCGTTCGCGTGTTTTACGCTCCTCGAATACACTTATTCGGTTAGGGAAGAAGCATTCATAGTGTATTATTTTCTTTTTTACACGCAAACGATCGATCTACTGGAACGTCGACATATTATTCGTTGGAAATTCCAATTCCACCGACGAATGTGCATAGTTATTTGTTTAGTCGAATAATTCATCTTAAAAGAAATATCTCTGATTTATTCCCGAATAATTTTTGCCTATAGAGTACTAAACTGTGCCCCTATATCATCTTGATGATTCCTGAAATCGTGGAACGAGTGGGTTAGTGGGTCGTTTTCGCGTTAATTACGGTGAATCCAGAAGTTGTCTGCATCGCGAACAGTCGCCATCAGGAATTCGGTCCTCTTCAATTCCTTCGACCATTTAATTAACCTCTCGTCGCGTCATTTCGAGTACATTACGAATTACAGAGTGAGTATTTCGCAGTTCCTTTTAACATTGTTATTCTCCATTCGGTTTAGTGGACTTCCTGGAAAGGTGTCGATGCTTGCGACCGCGCACGGAGATACGATAAATAACAAGAGATCCGTGACAAACTCTTACCAGGTAGCGCGAATCCACAAAGAAATTCCACTTTATACTTCCGGTAAAGGAACAGCACCGGTCTCCAGTTAGCGGGGAAAGCTTTCAAAACACTTAACAGTCTTCTTTCTCTTTTTCCGGGTTAACTACGCTGGGACACTCGTGCATTTCCTTTTTCCGCATAATACTACCCGCAAGAAAGGTGTTCAATGAAAAATGTTTTCGAAATCGATAGGATGTAATGAACGATTTCTTCTAAATTCAAAAACTGCGACAGAGATCATCCGTGATTCTCTGTCCAAGAATATTGACACCTTTTTGGATACCGTTCCAGCGGCTTCGGAATAGTTTGACGGTAAAAAGCCTTCCCGTGACTAAGAAGAATATCGGTCATGATGTTCAAGGCGTCGATGCATGACAATCTTTCGCAGACAAGTTCGACGCCGCTACGAAGCACCGTTTTAACTTTCCGGCACAAAACGCGTGCCATTCCGAAATTGAACAGTATGTTCCGATGACCGTCAGTTCTCCTTTCGGAATCTTTTAATATCCAATCTGCAATTCAAGTATCTCGATGCAACTTCAAGGATTTTC